AATGTTTTAAACAAACAAAACCGCAAAAGGGTGTCATCATAGGTTTGATTATAAATTTTATTCTTAACCTCAATCTTTGACGATTTTTTTTTTTTTTCATATTAATAATAATAATAATATCACGTCGCTCGTGAGAAATATCATTCCAGCATTGATAATAATAATAATAAACAATCCGATAAATTTTTGTTAAGTTTTCCCTTTTTTTTAAGGTTATGAAAAGATATAGAAGGAGAAAATTAATGATAATATCAAGTCGGAGTCAAACGAAATTATTTAAAAAACCCAAATTAAGTGAAAAATCGACACCATCAACTTCCGGTAATTTTTTTTTAAAATTTTTTTGTTATCGAAAGGTGCCAAAAAAAAAAAATATTAATTTATTTTCTTTTTCCCTATGACGTCATCGTAAAGTATCAAGAACCGAAAGCATAAACATCATGTCTGAAAAATTTGACGTTGGTTTAAACGACGCGGCGGAAAAATCTAAAAAAAACGGTAAACGTGGGTTATTATCGAGTCGAAATAAGTCTTTTAACGATTCGAAAAATAAAAATTTGTTTTTCCCATTCAGGTGTGAAATCGACGACTAGCAGTCCGGTTATAACGGATGCAAAATCCCCATTAAATAAAAACGTTTTGCTAACAATGGAATCTTATCAAATGCTTTTTGATAAGAACGAACCACCATTTAAACATCATTTAGAACAAGTCATTATGATGCCATCATACAGTAAAAGACAACAGTGAAATTATCTAGTGATTTTATGTATCCTTAAATTTTCTTTTTAAAAAAAAAAAATTTGAAAAAAAATTGAAAAACGAGCAGTAATAATTAATAAATTTAATTAATTAATTATTTACCTAAAAAACATGGCGACTTCATAATTATTTTAATAACTAATTGAAATGTGACGGAAATTGTTGATAATGAACCTCCTTTTTTTTTTAAAAAAAAAAAAATTTTTTGGGCGTTGTATCACTGTCACGTGGTTACGATAAACTTATAATTAAATCGTGAATTAATAAAAACAAAATTTGCTGCGGTTCATTGCAAAAAAAAAAAAAATTCTAGTTTTTTTTTTATATGGATCACGATTATTATTTAAAAAAAAAAACGATTCGAATTTTTCTTCGAGAAAAAATTTTAAGAAAAGATATATCGTCAAACAAAGTATTTATTAAATTTTATTATAAAAGTAATAAATATTTGCTGTGAGTCACGCGCGCATAGCAAAAATAGAATGTTTGCTACAAAAAAAAAAAAAAAAAATTAGATGAAATCAATTAATTTGTACGGGAAAACTTTTTTTTTTTTTTTACCTAGCAATCGGTCGTCGTGACCTGTCACGACGTAACAACATGCAATTTTGTTTTTTTTTGAAGAAAAGTGTCACGTTTAATCACTTCCGCGTTGTCAACAAAAACAACAACAACAACGACGACGATAATAATAATAATTATCGCATGAAATTAATAAACGGATAAATAAAATTACGTGTGCAATTATTTTCATTATACTCGTTTGTATTTTACTTATTATTATTATTTAAAATTTTTAAAGCGTGAGAGTGTGAGAGAGAGAGAAAGGGATAGAGAGGGAAAATATTAAATGAAAATAATGATGATGATGATGAAAAACCCTTTCGCAAAAATCATCGATCCGTTTTTTTTCTTTTTTTTTTTTTTTTTTTAATTTAAAAAATAAAAACAAAATGGCGACCATTTTATTTAATAAAATGACATTTGCATTTGTCGAGTTGAAATAAAAAAAAAAAAAAACGCGCGAAAGAAAAAGAATAAGAAAAGAAAAAAAAAATTGATTTAAAATTTTAAAAGGGGTTGACCGGTTTCCGTTTCCGAGACTGATAATTGTCGATTCAGGGTTCGTGTAAATTTTAAAAAAAAAAAAAAAAAAAGGGGTTCAAAGGGTTGCAGGGGGTTCAAACGCACGAAGGGCAGGGTCGTCGTAAACAATATTTCATTATCCGACTTCCCCCTTCCCCCTCTTTAATCTCGGTGGTGACTCCTGACCTCTCCTTTAAATCCGCAACGCATCTTTAAAAGGATTAAATATATACATATACATAACGTAAAACGTCATTTGGATTTATATTTTTGACCACAAAGTAATAATAATAATAATAATAATCTTATTTAAACGAAAACTCGAATCGTTTTACAACCTATTTTACATTTTAATTATTTTTCATTCATTCAATCATTCATTCATTCATTCATTCATTTATTACATAAATCAAACCAAACGGTAGTCGGAGGGTAAGATTCGTGAGAATAAAAATTTTTAAATTATTATTGTCGTTTTTCGTCAACGTCGTTTTCCATCTTAATATTATTATTATTATTATTATTATAATTTAAATTTTATTTAATTAAAATTTTACGTCATCATCTGAAATTCGGATAGGTGTGTTGATTAATAATAATAATAATAATAATAATAATTTTTCAAATTGAAACGTTTAATCTTTTAATAAAAGTGACCCCCGATTATTTAAATTTTTTTTTTTTTTCTTATGCATTTTAATGAATTTTCTTCTACTCCTGTTGTTGTTGTTGTTGTTGTTGTTCGGATGACATTATCGTAACGTGTAATGATTTAATATGACGTCATCAATTTTTTAAATAAAAAAAAAATTAAAAAACAAACATAACTTTTTAAACCTGTCGGAAATTCCAATCACAACATTCAATTTTATTTTATTTTTTTTTGATTTTAATTGTTAATTACAAAAAAAAAAAAAATCGAACGGTATCATTTATCCAAAGTCACGTGTGATCACGGTGAAACATAAACAAAACCTTTTGATATAAATTTTTATTATTTTCCATTCTCCTCCCACTACCCCATCCCTCCCCAAACCTCCTCCCCATTTTAATTCATTTTGTTTTTACTGATTTTTATCTTGGCACTTATTATTTATTTCTTTGTTTCTTTTCTTCTCTCCATTCTCGGTGTGATTAAATCTCACCGGAATCGTTCGTTATTTGTATCGTTTTACTATTTTAAATTTTTAATATTATCGTTTAACCTTTAACCCTTATCATCATCATCATCATCATCATCATCTTGTTACAATTAAATCAATTTTATTTTACTTTTTTTATTATTCAAAGTAATAATTTTTTTTTTGTACCCTATTAACACCATTCATCACGTTCATTATTATTATTATTATTATTATTTGAAACAATCGTAACGATATCACATAAAAATAATAATAATAATAATAACACTAAATTTAATTTTTAAAGACTTTACAAAAAAAAAGTGGTTTTGATAGCCATGATGGCCAAGATGATGATGACGACAACACTCTTAAAATAATTTTCATTTTTTCGTTAATTAATTAAAACGAAGGAGAGGATGAGGAGAAGGGAGGGGTAAGGGGAGAGGAAAAGAGAGAGGAGGGTTTTTTTGTTTAAATTCGATTGAATAAATAAAAAAAACAAAACGGGGAAGGAGAATTAAAAATAATTATTCAATGTTAACAGGTTAACTCTCACCAGTTTACTATCGAATATCAATAAATTATTATTTAATAATAATAATACCGTGACGTCATACATGTGGTAAATTTTTTTAAAAAACATTTTATTGTTTTCGTAATGGAAAGCAATTAAAAAAAAATTATTTTTTATTATAGCAACGCCTTAAATTGTATGTTTGTTTAACTTTTTTTTTTTTTTTCATTCGTATTCAATGTAACCGCAACAAGTGATTGAATTTGAAAAAAAAAAATCACATTGTTTTATTATTATTATTATTATTATTATTTCGTTGAGATAAAAGAAAAAAAAATGATTAAGCAATTTTATATATAAACGATCAAAAACAATCAAAAACATTTTAAAAAAAGAAAAAAAATTACGTGTACGAATACCTTTTTGATCCTTTGTACTTTTTTTTTATTTTTTTTTTCTAACAAAGGTCAAAGGTTAAAATCAAAAAAAAAAATCGAAAAAAATGGCTAATTAAAAAGTAAAGAAAGAAAAAAAATTTTTTTTTGTATTCGAATCGATTCTTTTTTTTTTTTTTTTCAATAAAAAAAAGGTGGCGGAACCGGAATTTCAAAATTAACCGTTTCCATCCATTCCTTTTTTTTTTTTTTTTTTTTTTCTTTCCTTTCTTCGACTAAATTTCCGTTTTAGTTTTTTTTTCTTTCTTTCTTTCGTATCAATTAAATTTTATTCATTCTTCTTTTTTTTCCTAATTCTTTTGTGTAAAAAAAGAAAAAAAATTTTCCGCCAAAGAATAAAAAAACGAACGTCATTGTCTACGATAAACGCGTTAGATGAAGATGAACAAGAGATCAAGTGTTTTTGGGGGGGTCCACCCTCACTCTCGTACGATTCTTATACAAATAATAAAAAAAAAAAATTTAAGTTGAATCCACGTCGTTGTTGAGAATCGTTTTCTAATTCCACGCCCAAACAAAAAAAAAATTTTCAAAATCAACCGTTTTTTTTTTGAATATATTAATTTTTAAATTATACATATATATATAGTAGCATAGGATGTAAATGATTTCAAGTTTCCGGCTGGTACCCTCGTTGTTGGCATCGCATGCAAATGTTCCCATAATAATAATAATAATAATTTTAAATTTTTTCAAAACGTTTTCTTATTCAAACACTTCAATTGATAATCTTTTCCCCCTTCCTCCCCCTCCCCCTCTCTCTGTCTCTCTCTCTCTCTCTCTCTCTGTCAGTTCTTTCTTTATTTGTGTATACATTGATAAAAAAAAAAAAAAAGAAAAAATCAGCATTCGAATCATAATGAAAAAGGAAAAAAAAAAAAAGTAAAGGGAATAAGTGAATGGGGTTTGGACGTGCGTGTTATAATCACCCGCACGCACACGCACACGCGCACACGCACCCCGTTTTTAACCCCGTTTTAATAATATTGATACAATGTGCATTTAATAAACGTGCCCTTAAGCTTTTGTGTACGGTAAACACGGATTAAACTTAATTAAACACGAATTTTTTTTTTTTTTTTTTTTTACTTTATTATTTTATTACGGGTGTATAAACCCGTAGCCGTCGTCGTCGTCGTCTGCCGTTCGAGTTTTTAAATACCGAACGTAAATAATAATAATAATAAAAATGGATTTTTTACCACCTTTTAACTGACCGTTTCTCTCTCTCTATCTCTCTCCCTCTTTTTTAAACGGTTATAAATTGATGAGTAAAAATCTATTTTTTTTCTTCCTTAAGCTTCGAACGTGTGAATTTATTCCTTCAAAAATAAAATGGCTGCATGGTTTTTTTTTTTTTATAAATTAAATTTATTATATTTTATTTTAATAAGTTAAAAAATATCAACGTAATTTATTAATATTATCATTATTAGTTTAATAATAAAAAATATTTACGAAAATATTACACATAAAGGTGAAAAAAAAAAAAAAAAAATTGTTAAATATTAAAGTAATAAAAAAAAAAAAATAGTTATGTCGGCGACGGCGGCGGTGGTGGTCGTCTTAGTCGTAATAATAATAATAATAATAATAATAATAATAATAATAACCGGTTATGAACTACTATAAAACAAAAGCAACGTGGGACGTTTCAATTTCGAAGGATAAAAGAGAGAAAAAAAAATGTTTTTTAATATAAACCAGACGACGAGTAAAAAAAAAAAAAAAAAAAATAAAAAAGAAACAGGAAAAGACGTCATAAAAAAATGTAAAATTTACAGTTTAATATAATCCCGGGGTAGGAAT